AAGATCTCTACATTGAAACTACAGTACTCTGAAAAAGGAGATTGAAGAGGATATCAGAAAATGGAAAGATATCCCTCGCTCTTGGGTAGGAAGAATCAGCATAGTAAAAATGGCCATACTTCCAAAATTATTGTACAGATTTAATGCAATTCCAGTCAAAATTCTGTATCTCAGGGAACTGGAAAAAACAAATCCTAAAATTCACTTGGAACCAGAAGAGACCTAGAATAGGAAAGGCAATTCTGTGCAACAAAGGTAAGGCAGGAGACATCACAATCCCTGACTTGAAATTATACCATAAAGCTACTGTGATAAAAACAGGCTGGGCATGGTGGTGCACTTGGGAGGCTGAGGCAGGAGGATCTCTGTGAGTTCAAGGCCAGCCTGGGCTACAAAGTGAGTTCAAAGCCAGCCTGAACTGCATAGTGAGATGCTATCTTAAAAAGACAAAAATAAAAATAAAAACCCAGGATGGTACTGGCAAAAAACCATACCTGAGGATTAATGGAACATATTAGAAGATACAGAAACAACTCCAGGCATACTTAACTACCTTATCTTTGCTTTATCTTATCTTTGACAAAGGTGCCAAACACATTCACTGGAAGACAGATAGCCTCTTTAATAAATGGTGCTGGAAAAACTGGCTCTGCACATGCTGAAGGTTAAAATTAGACCCATATTTTTCACCAAGCACTAAAATAAAATCAAAATGGATCAGAGATCTAAACATTAAAACAAAAACATTAAATCTGTTGGAAGATAGAACAGGTAGAACTCTTAAAGACATTGGGGTAGGCAAAGACTTTATGAACAAAACCTTGATTGCACAGGAACTATCGCAAAGAATCAACAACTGGGATCTCATTGTTCTGTTTGTTTGTTTGTTTTTCTTTTTGAGACAGGATTTCGCTATGTAGTTCAGGCTGGCCTTGAACTCACTTTGCAGCCCCAGGCTGGCCTCGAACTCACAGTGATCTTTCTGCCTCAGCCTCTTGAGTGTGTTCTCATCTTATTAGAAAGATTTTTGCACAGTAAGAGTGAAGAGACAACCTACAGTGGGAAAAAATGCCAGCTGTTCTTCAGAGAAAGGATTACTATCTAGTATAATACATAAAGAACTCAAAAAAGTCAGACCCCTCAAATTTAAAGA